TCAGTAAAGCAGAAGGTTTATTTAGACGACAGGAATACAGTCCAAGACAGGTCTTGCAGGCGCAGACAACAGGACCCCCCTCAGTTAGGTCCATCTTGGGCTCCCAGGGTGCCCCAGCCCCCTTGCGAGGTCAGAGCCCCGTCTGCCCCCAGCCATCTCCCCAGCCAGCTCCTGAAACTCTGCCCTCAGCGACCCCTCCCACAGCCTTTGTTCAGTTTCCCCGGCAAAGTGTCACCTGGCCTCTAACCCCTTCCTGGGTTCTCATGTTACATGCTCAGGTATTCTCCATTGGTCAGTCTCCCATCCCCCAATGTAGACTATCCTAGCCACACTCCCCTGTCAGCATTCAAAGACCACAGTAAGAACAGTCCCAGTTCATCATAACTGCCCTCCTCAGCCATATTCCTGGATTCCCATTTCTGAATCCAGGACATAACATCCCTCTTTGTCCTAAAGTTACCTCAGGAATTTACCCTTCACCATCATGTCCTGTTCTCCAAACCATTCAACACCTTTCTTTGTATCAGACCTTTTTCTATCTCCTCCTCACCCTAGGGAAGGCTAGTGCTATCTCCCATGCTGTCCCTGTCCCCCACCTGAAACATCACAGTTCCACAGCATTCGATTCAATGAGGCATTATTGGCATGACCAGCTATACAAGCGTTGCCCAAGTGTAGGAAAAAGACAGACCCCTCAGGTATCTGTGAGAGGCAGGTATTGTCCACCCAGCATAGGGTTACACACATTTGGGGTTTGACCCCATGTTCTTTGGTCACTTCGGTCCATGCCTGATCCAGTGACAGATGGCTACATAGCACAATGCCATCTCTGCTGTACCAGGGTTACGTGCCTCCTCTGCAGATCCCTGACTCTCTTCCATTCCTATCTTCACCCCCTGCTTCAGCCTCCCTTTCTGACAAAATAAATCACGTCCTGCTCTCCAAGACTGCAGCATTCCCCTCTGGTGTCAGCCATTCTCCCCACAAAGTATTCTGCTGTCTCATCCCCTGTTCTAAAGCATCTCCAACCCTTCTCTGGACAAAAAGAACAGGAGTACTTGTGGCACCTTAGAGACTAACGAATTTATTTGAGCATAAGCTTTCGT